GTCTGTGTTTATACATGTCAATTTTCTGTGTGTACTTGTGTGTGTCTACCTATCTCTCTCTGTGTGTCTATGAACATATCTGTGTATGTGTATATCTTTGTTTCTGTATCTGTGTATCTCTAAGTGTGCGTGTGACTGTGTATGTCTGTGTGTGTATGTTTGTGTATATGTATATGTACGTATGTGTCCCCATGCATATGTTGGCTGTGTCTATGTATAGGTCAGTTTGCAAATCTCTGCGTGTGTTTCTTTATATGTCTATGTGTCTCTGGTGGTATAAGTGTGCGGGTATACATGGCTTTGTGTGTGTCCGTCTACGTCTGTGCGTGTCTATACGTGTGCACATTTATCTGTGCATATGTCTGTGTATGTCCGCGATTATGTCTGAGTGTTTATATCTATGTATCTCGGAGTGTCTCTGTCTGTGTGTATAGACTGTGTGTCACTTTGTAGGCATGTGTGTCTGTGTTTATGTCTATGTATGTCGTGTGACTGCGAGTATGTCTGTGTGCATGTTGTATCTGTTTGCACACATGTGTCAGTGTGGGTCTGTGTGTGTGTGTGACCATCTCGGTTTGTATATGTCTGTGCGTGTCTGGGTATATGTCTCTGTGTGTCTGTGTTGACTATGTGTGTCCGTGTATGTCTGTGTACATGTGTGTACATCTGTGTACATGTCTGTGCATGTATTGATGTACCTATGCACATATCTGTGTGTGTCTCAGTGTGTCTGTGTATCTGTGATCCTGTGTGTGCGCATGTGTGTCCGTGTACATATCTCTGTGTGTGCATGTTTGTGTGTACATATATATGACTGTGTCTGTGTGTGTCTATGTATATGTCTGTGTTGTGTCTTTGTGTGTTCATTTGGTTTTTTGTCTGTGTATCTGTCTGAATCATTGATGTGTATGTCTGTGTGTGCATCTGTGTCAGTGTATGTTTATGTCAGTGTATATCTGTACCTGTGTGTACAAGTGTTTGCTGTGTATGTGTGTGTTTTATGTTTAGATCTGTGTCTGTATATGTCTGTCTGTGCATTGTATCCATGTATATGCCTACATGTCTGTCTTTTTGTGTGTCTATTTGTGTGTCTATGTATATGCTGTGTGCTTGTGAATGTGTGCATGTGTTTAGCAAGTATCTATGTGTCTATATACATGCTATCTGTTTCTGTGTCTGTGTGTACATATATATGCCTATGTATTCTTCTCTGTGTCTGAGTATGCATGTATATATCTTTGTGTGCATGTTTGAGCCTGTGTATATGTCTATGTGTTTGTGAGTATATGCAGCTGTCTTGTGTATATCTCTGTGTACTCCTCTGTGTGTGTTTATCTGTGTATCTCTGTGTATGTATGTTTTTTGGTATATATCTATTGTGTGTCTGAGTCTGGGTGCATATGTCTTTTGTCTATGTGTGCATGTGGGTACATCTGTGTATATGTTTTGAGTGTCTTAGTGCGCATGTATGTGGTGTCTGCATATATCTGTATCTTGTGTTTGTGTATGTATCTGTGTCTATGTCACTGTGTGTGCATCTATGTGTGTATGAATGTGTATATGTCTGTATCTGTGTGTACATTGGGTGCATGATTATGTATGTCTGTTTTTGTGTCTGTCTATAAGTCTTTTTCTCTGTATGTGGGCATATATGTGTTCATTTTTCTGTGGTGCACATCTTTTTGTGTGTATATGCCTGTGTTATTTCGTGTACATGTTTGTATTTCTCTGGGTGTCTGGGTATATTTGCTTTGTGTGGGTATGTGTATCTCTGTGTGTAAAATTGCACGTATGTCTATGTATCTCTGTATGTGTCTCTATGCATATGCGTTTGTGTATGCATGTGTCTGTCTATACTTTAATCTGTGTGTTTTACTCTGTATTTATATGTGTGCCTCTGTGTGCACCTTTGTGTTTCTGGGTACATATCTCTGTGTCACTGCGTGTTTCTGTGTATCTATGTGTGTATCTGTGTGTCTGCGTATGTGTTTGTGTGTGCATGTTGGTGTGTATCTGTGTATATTTGTGTGTCTCTGTGTGTATATGTCTGCCTCTCTTAGTGTTTAGGTTTGTGTGCATCTTGGTATATGTTTGTGTCACTGTGTGTATATACATGTATTTGTGTGTGTCTGTGTTTCTGTGTATAAATATCTATTGTCTTGTGTGCATGTGTCTATACATGTATGTGTTTGCCATATGGTATATGGCTGTGGGTATATTTCTGTGTGTCTCTATGTGTCTATGTGTGTATGTACGTGTGTCTGTATGTGCCTTTGTATATGTATGTTTGTGTATATGTACAAGGGCATCTCTATGTCTGCATATGTCTATATGTCTGTGTATATATCTATGAGTCTCTGTGTATGTATATGTATATGTATATGTATGTATATGTATGTGTGTACCTCTGTGTGTCTCACTGTGTCTATGACTGTTTGTCTCTGTGTGTGCCTTTGTATGTGTCTGGGTATATGTCTACTGCGTCTGTATGTCTTTGTGTATATATGTCTGTGTCCATTTCTGCATGTGTTAGTGTACATGTGTTTCTATGTGTAAGTCTGTGTGATGTGTGTGCTTGTCTGTGTATGACTGTGTGTCTGTATATATGTACATACATGGTTGTGTGTTTTTGTGTCTCTATGTGTGTGCACGTTTCTATCTTTGTGTTTGTACGTCTATGTGTGCATGAGTGTGTGTGCATGTGGATGTGGTTGTATGTTATTCTGTAGGCAATTGTATGTGTCCGTGTGTAGATGTATGCGTGTCCGTGTGCATCTATTGTCTGTCTGTGGCTGTGTGTGTATATGTCTGCATGTATGTACATATTTGTGTGCAAATGTATTTGGGTCTCTGTATGTGTTTCCATATAAGTGTCTGTGTCTATATCTATGTGAATCTGTATGTGTGATGCATATATATGTATATACTTGTGAATATGTATCTGTGTGTATATCAGTGTGTGCATTTCATTGTGTGTGTCTGTGCATGGTGTGTGTTTATATGTCTGTATCTGTGTTAAATGTGTCTGTATGTGTGTGATTCTATGTGTGTATGTTTGTGTCTGTGTGCAGATGTATCTGTGCATATGCAAGTGTGTGTCTCTCTGTGTACACTGTGTCTTGTATGTGTGATTGTCTATATGTCTAAGTGTGTCCCTGTCTGTAAATGGCTGTGTCTGTCTATATCTGTGTGCGCTTGTGCGTCTACATATACATCTGTACGTGTCTCTGAGTGCCAAAATACATGTCTATATGCATGTGTTTATCTGTTTATGTCTGAGTGTGTCTAAAATTCTGTGTTTACATGCGTGTGCCTGTGTATACGTCTGTGTTTATATGTGTGTTTGCCCGAGTGCATATCTCTGTGTATATATGTGTCTGTGCATTTGTGTTTGTGATTGTTTTTGTGTTATGTAAATGTCTGTGTGTCTATTTCGTGTATATGTCTCTGTGTGCACACAGGTTCGTGTCTGCATATGTCTCTGTATGTATTTGTTGGTGTTTTTCTCTGTGCATGTAGACTGTGTCTGTGTGTACATGTGTGTGTCTATGTGTTTAGTGGGTATGTGTTGTATATTTGTGTATGTGTGTATGTGTATGTCTTGGTACATGTTTGTGTGTGTGTAAATGTATATGTTTTTCTGTGATTGTATCTTTGTTCTATGCTTATATCTCTCTCTGTATGCATGCGTGTGTCTCTATATGTCTGTTGCGTCTGAGTGTGCCTGTGTGTGTCTGTGTTTATATCTATGTTGTCTCTGTGTATGCATGTGTATGTGTTTGTGTATATGTCTGCATGTACAGTGTGTCTGTCTGTGTCTCCATTGGGTGCATGTGAGTTTGTTTCTGTGTATATGTCTCTGTGTCTCTGTTTATGTAGTGTGTATCAGTGCACACGTCTGTTTGTTCTGCCTATGGGTCTGTGGTATCTATCAATGTATATATGTATATGTCTGTATGTGCATGGGTGTGCACCCATGTGTGGGTGTCTGTGTTTTCTTGTGTCTGTGTGAATATGTGTGTATATATGTGAATGTGCCTATGTCTGTGTCTGTCTCTATGTATATAAGTCTGCATATGTTAGTGTGCCCGTGTTTGTGTGTTTATATGTCTGGGTACATGTGTGTCTTAAATATGGTTGTGGTTATCTTGTGTGTATGTCTGTGTTTGCATTATGTATATCTGTATATGTATGTGTGACTCTGTGTGTATGTTTGTGAGTGTATGTGTGCATGTGGGTGTCTGTGTATGTGTGTGAATATCTGTGTGTATATGTCTGTGTGTATGTGTGTGCAGGTACATGGCTCTATTTAGATGTGCCTGTGTATATGTATGTATGCCACGTGTGTGAGTATCTGTGTGTCTATGTATATGTCTGCATGTGCATGTTTCTGTGTATCTACGTATATATCTTTGTGAGTCTGTGTGTATATGTCTGTGTGTCTTGTGTTGTGTTTGGGAATTATGTGTGTGCATCTGTATGTATATATGTATATATCTGTGAGTCTGTGTATATATGTTTCCATGTGTTTGTAAATATGACTGTGTGCACGCAGTTGTGTGCCTTGTATATGTCTGTGAGCCTGTATGTATCTGTGTGTTCCACGCACATGGATGTGGCGTGCCTCCGTGCACTGCACATCTGCCTTTACACGTCTGTGTGTCTAGATGTCTCTTTGTGTGTGTATGCCTATGTGTCTCTGTGTACGCCTGCATATTTTTGTGTATATGTATTTTTTCGTAGAGGTCTGTGTGGGTATGTGTATGTGCATCTGTACCTGTGTGTTGCTGTGTGTATGTCTGTATATGCATTTTTGTCTATCTGTCTGTCACTGTAGGCACATGTAAGTGTGTGCATGTGTGTCTGTGTATATCTATATATGAACATGTGTGTATCTATTTGTGTGTGTGTGTTCAGTGGTGGGAGAGGTGGGTGTGGTCAGTGTGCTCCAGTTAGAGCTGCAGATGGACGGAGGGCGCGGACACCGTCCCCCAACTTACCAGCAGCACAGACTCGGTGCCAGGGCTGGGTCCCACCAAACACGTGTGTTCCAGGGCTGCTGTGGCACTCCTCTGGACGACCTTCCTCAATGCTGCTCAGGAAATGCTGTGCCTGCATGCAAAGGAAAAAGCCCGAGGAGCTGCACCCCTTCCACCCAGAATGGCCACTGAGAGTCTCTGTATATGTCTGTGTTTGCCTTTGTGTGCACACGTGTGTATGGGTATCTTGAGTCTCTGTGTACATGTGTGTATGTTTGTCTCTGTATCGTTATGTGCACAAGTGTGTATATGCGCCTGTCTCTGTATGTTTGTCTGTGTCTTGTGTGCATGTGACTGTATCTTTGTATATCTCACTGTGTGAGCATGTGTATGGGTTATGTGTAGATTTCTGTGTCTGTGTGGACATCTCTATGTGTCTATGTATGTATCTGTGTGTCTGTCTATATGTATGCATGGGTCTCTATGCATGTGTTGTCTGTGTACATGTCTGTCATTTTGTGTGTTTCTATAAGTATGTGTGTCTGTGCCTATGTGTGTTTAGTCTAAGTGTGTAGTTTGTGTTTCGGTATGAAGGCATATCTATGCATAAATGTAGATGTCTGTGTGTATGTGCGTGTGTCTCTCAGTGTCCTTGTGTTCCTGCATGTATGTCTGGGTAAATGTTGGTAAATGTTGGTGTATGAGTCTGTGTCTGTGTCAGTGTATATGTCTGTGTATACTTCTGTGTGCTAGTCTGTGTATATCTGTCTACTGTCTGTATGCATGCGTGTGTCTGTGTATATCTGTGTGTCTCTGTCTTTGTATATGTCTGTGTTGTATCTATGTGAGTTCATGTGGGTCTGTGTCTGTGTATATGTGTGGGTGAGTTCTGGGTGTATGTGTGTGTGCAAACGCGCATATGTCTTTCTGTGTATATGCATGGTTATCTCTGTATGCATTGGGTGTGGGGCGGTGTGCATCTCTGGGCATCCCACTATGTGTCTCTGTATATGTCCAAGTGTGTATGTGTGTGTGTGTCTGTATATAGGTGTGTGTTTCTATCTTTATGTGTTTGTGTTTATCTTTGTATGTCTGTGTCTTTATGTCTGTATATCTGTATGTTCGTGTGTTCCCACTGTGTCTGTGTATATGTCTATGAAAGTTTCTGTGTGCATCTGTGTGTCTGTGCATATGCCTGGGTATTTGTGTATATGGCTGTGTCGGTGCACCTGTGTGAATTATGTCTGAGCAGACAACTGTGTCTGCGTATGTGCATTTGTGTATATGTCTCCGTGTATAAATGTCTATATCTCTATATATCTCACTGTCTCTGTGCATATTTCTTTTCTAACTGTGCACGTGTGTCTAGTTATATGCCTCTGTGTGTTTCTGGGTGTACCTGTGTTTCTGTGTCTCTGTATATGTCACTGTTTCCCTGTGGGTCTATGTGTGTGTCTGTTGGTACATGCATGTACCTGTGTATACGTCATTGTGTACCCTTTTGTGTACAAGTGGGTATGTGTCTGTGTATATATATGTTTGCGCATGCTTGTCTATATGTCTTTGTGTGTATAAATTTGTGTTCATTTATCTTTGTGCATGTTGAATGTGTGTGCACGTGTGTACACGTCTATGGTTTTGCATTCATGTCTGTGTACGCATGTGTGTGTCTATTTGTGTCTGCATGTATCTGTGTGCCATTGTATATGTCTGTGTATGCAATTTTCTGTGTCTGTGTACATATATATGTGATTCTGTGTTTCTGTAGGTGAGCACGTGTGTGTCTGTATGTCTGTGCATCTCTGAGTCTTTGTGTGTATGTCTGTTGTCTCTGTATCTGTGAATATGTCTGTGTGTGCATGTGGGTTTATGTCTGTGTATATGTCTGTGTGTACCTGTATGGTTGCCCCTCGGTGTGCATCTATCTGTGTTGTGTATATATCCCTGTGTCTTTCTGTGTCTACGTGTGTATGTCTCTATGTCTGTGTGTGCACATGTATTGTGTATATACATATGTCTGTGTCTATGTGATTCTGTGTTTCTATAAGCCTGTGTGTGCATGTATATATCTGTGTATGTGTCTGTGTATGCATTTGTGTTTCTGTGTGCTTGTGTGTGTCTGTGTGCATGCATGCATGCATGCGAGTGTACCTTGTCAGTGTATGTGTGTGCACGGGTCTATGTACATATCTGTGTCTGTGCATATGTGTCTGTGTGTATGCTGTGTTTGTGTGTGCATGTGTGTATCTGTGTAAATGTGTTTCTGCATATATGATGTGTTGTGTGGTATCTGTGTATGTCTGTGTGTATACATGTGTGTCTGTGTCAGTGTCACTATGCATTTGGTTGTGTGTCTGTATATATCAGTGTCACTCTGTGCATTTGGCTGTGTGTCTATTTATATATCTATGTCTGTCTATATTCCTGTGTGTGCTCATGTGTCTGTGAGAATGTGTGTATCAATGTATGCTTGTGTGTTTGTTTCTCTGTGTGTGTGCATATGTGTGTATGAGCATATGTCCATGTGTCTGTAAATGACTGTGTGGATATGTGTGGCACATGAGTGTGTTATTGTGTGTTTATCTCAGTGTGTCTAGTGATTATGCCTATTTACATATCTGTGGCTCTATGTGTCAGTATATATGTTTGTGTGCATTTTGATTCTGTGTCTGTGTGTATATTGCTCGAGCGGGCCCAGTAACGTCTCCATTGGAGATTTTGTTGTTACTGTGTTTGGCATATTGAATACATCACGGCGGCTTGCCCAGGCTCTGCCGTGCGGGCGAGATACTCTCGGTAGCTTGCTGGGCTCTCTGAGAGGGGCGGAGGAATCGAACTCGGGTTGGCCATGTTGGCTGCGTGCAAGGCAAACACCCTACCGCTGTGCTATCACTCTGTCTGTGTATGTATCAGTATATATGTCTGTGTGTTTCTGTGTGTCTCTGTGTGCATATTTCTATGTGTGTCTGTGTGTGCCCACGTATCTTTATATGTCTCTGTGTAGTCTATGGGTCTACATGTTGAAGTATTTCTGTGTATGACTGTGTGACTGTCAGCTTGTGTATGTCTGGATCTGCATGTTTGTGTCTGCGTATATGTATGTCTCTGTGTCAAACACATGTTTGTGTCTGTGTGTGCATGTGTGTCAGTGTATGTGTCTATGTGTACACACCTGTTTCTATGGGCAGTTTTCTGTGTGTGTCTGTAAGTCTGTGTGTCTGTGTATATGTCTGTGTTTGCATTTGTGTGCCTGTGTGTCTCCGTGTATATATCTGTGTCTCTGTGTTTATATGTCTGTGTATAGTAGATGTCTGTTATCGGTGTGTGTACTTATAAATGTTTGTGTTTACCTGTGTGTATTGTCTGCATATGTCTGTGTTGGACAAATGTTTGTATTCGGTATATGTGTATATATGTGTTGACGGTGAATGTCTCTGTATTTGTGTGCCTGTGTCTGTGTGTCTTGTATATATGTGTGTCTGAGTGTCTGTGTGCATATCTGAGTGTGTGTTCACATGTGTTTCTGTGTACATGTCTGTCTCTGAGTGTATATTTTTCTTCCATCTGTGTGTGCATGTTTATGTGTGTTTCCGTGTATATGTCTGTGTGTTTCTATGTGTATAAATATCTGCGTATTTCTGTGTGGAGGTGTGTGTCTATGCATGTCTTTGAGAGTCTACATGTGTGTATATTTCTTTTGTGTGTGCATGTTTATGTGCCTGTGTTTCTGTGTGTTTCTCGATGTTTGGGTATGTATGTGACTGTGTATATGTCTGTGTATGCATTTGTGTATATGCATGTGTCTATCGGTGTGCATTTGTGCATCTGTCACTATGTGTACATTATATCTACCTGTGCATGCTGTATCTATGTCTGTGTCATTGTGTGTGCATGTGTGTCTACCTCTGTGTCTATCTATATATTTGGGTGTCTGTGTGCATGTGTGTCTATTGTGTTTGTCAGTATATATTGTATTTTGGTATGTTCATAGTGTGTAACTGTGTCATGGGGACGTCTACGTGTGCATGGGTGTCTATATGTCTGTAAATATGTCTGTGTTTGTGTGTATGTCTCTATGTTTGCATGTGTGTTCATCTGTGTATATGTCTGTATGTGTATGCATATCTATGTGTATGTAATGTGTCTCTGGATATCGATATATATATATAATTTCGTGTCTGTGAAAACATCTTTTGTATCTCTGTGCGCATTTATGTGTCTGTGTGTGACTGTACATATGTATGAGGCTGCATATAACTCTATGTGTGCAAGTGTGTGTTTCTGTCTACATATTTCTGTGTGTGAGCAAATGTGTCTCTGTATATGTCTGTCTGTATGCGTATGTTTAATTGTGTGTTTGTGTGTGACTTTGTATTTGTGTGTAAGCATGAGTGTCTATGTATGTGTGTATATATTTGTGTGTCTGTGTATATGTCTGTGGGTGCATGTGTTTGTATATTTCAGTGGATATGTCTGTGTTTCTATGTGTGTGTGTGAGTTCGTATGTATTTATGTCTGTCTTTGTATATTTGTCTGTCTGTGTGTGTGAATGTGTCTGTGTATATGTCTATGTGTTCATTGTGTATCTGTATACATTTCTATGTGTTTGTGTGCACATGTTGCATTTTGTGCATGTGAATTGGTATATATGTGTGTCGGTATAACTGTATGCATGTGCTTTTGTGTGTATCTGTATTTGTTTACATGTGCCTCTCTGTGTGTTTGTATATAGGTCTGTGAGTTCACATGTGTCTCTGAATATGCATGTGTATCAGTGTGTCTGAGTGTTCTGTGTATATGACTGTGTCTCTGTGTTTATGCATGAGTATGTGTCTTTGTATATATCAGCTGTGTCTGTGTGTTCATGTGGGTACGGTTCTGTATATATGCCTGTATGTCTCAGTGTATGTGCATGTGTATGTATTTGTGTAACTGTGTATATCGTGTGTGCATGTCTGAGTGTATATGCCTGCATGTCTGAGTGTATATGCCTGCATGTCTGTATGTTCATGTGTTTAGTATATCTGTATGTCTGTGTACATGTCTATATCTCTATATGTATCTCTGTGCACATGTGTGTCTGTGTAT